GACAGACTTCCTCTTTTTCCTTCATTTCAGGTCCCTCATTCCTTAACTTGCTCAAAGCTTCTCAACCCCACGCCACCCCCCTTGCAGCATCCTCCTTTATGCTCCTATTGCTAATTGCCTTAGTCTTTCGATTTTCCAACTGTGAATTCCTGAGGGAGGACCAACACGTATTTTCAAGCCTGGTCTTAAATGTCATAAATTGCTTTCAAGCTACAATAGGTCCCACTGAGGGAGGTACACAGACACAGTTCAAACCTCTGTAGCCAGTTGGAGTGGGAATATCCTTCAAACAGATACCCTCAGGCATAATGTGGAGAATATCCTAAGCACTTGTTCATAACAATCGTGAATGAGAGTCATTATTTATACTCACTTTATTGACTTGAAAACAGAGGTTTAGAGAGGTGACAAAATTTGTCCGAGAAATTAAGTGGCAAAGCTGGAATGTGAACACAGCCTGCCAGACTAACAAACTCCAAGCCTCCATTTTTATCATCTTTCCTAACTTCCAGGCTGAGTAACGTTCTTGCTATTCTCTACTTCCTAAAGCTTAGAACTCTTCTCGTGGGTTCTGTGATACTGTACTCTTTTGGTTTTGTATTTTCCTGATGGCTCCTCCATTCCTTTTAATTCCTTGTTCTCTTTCAAATTTAAAATGGAAGGGTTCTCCAAGGGACTCTTCATGGCTCCTTCTTGTTTCTTTCTATACTCTCATTTTAGGCAAATTCATAGGCTTTCATGTTTGGATACAGCCGGACACTATGGTTTCTTAAACTGGGGTTCTTGGGCACACATGCCCTCCCACCCTATCCAAGAGACTTGTGGATAGAATTTAGGGAGTTCATGAATTTGAATGAGAAAACAATTAACGTATTTATATTTTCATTAAATTCTAACAGAAATTTACTAATTCCCGGGCGCCTGGGTGGCTCAGTCAGTTAGGCATCTGACTCTGGATTTCGGCTTAGGTCATGATCTCAGGGTGGTGACATCCAGCCCAGTGTTGGGCACTGTGCTCAGTGGGGAGTCTGCTTGAGATTCTTTCTTCCTCTCCCTCTGTCTCCTCCACCCCCACGTGCCTGAGTGCCCTTTCTCTCTCTCTTTCTCAAATAGATAGATAAATCTTTTAAAAAACTTACTAACTCCTTCAATTATGAATGTAGGCAACAAGCCACTGTAATAGCAACAGACATCTGGGACCTTGTTACCAACAGAAATCATAGGTATTTTAGTATTTTCCAACTGTTGCAAATATTTTAAAATTTTATTTTTTCCCATTATACTTCACAGTCACAGTGGCTCACTCACACCTATCAGAATGGCTAAAATCCAAAACATAAGAAATAACAAATGTTGGCGAGTATGTGGAGAAAAAGGACGCATCTTGCGCTATTGGTGAGAATGAAAACTGGTGCAGCGACTGTGGAAAACAGTCTGGAGGTTCCTCAAAATGTTAAAAGTAGCACTACCATATGATCCAGTAATCGAGCTACTGGATATTTACCCCCAAAATACAAAAACACTAATTCAAATGTTTATGGCAGTATTATTTACAATAGCCAAATTATGGAAGCAGACCAAGTGTCCATCAATAGATGAATGGATAAAGAAGATGTGGTGTATATATACAATAGAATATTATTTAGCCATAAAAAAGAATGAACTCTTGCCACTTGTAACAACATAGATGGAGCTAGAGGGTATGATGCTAAGTGAAATAAGTCAGTCAGAGAAAGACAAGTACCATATGATTCCACTCATATGTCGAATTTAAGAAACAAAACAAATGAGCAAGGGGAGAAAAGAGAGAAAGAGAGATAAGCCAAGAAACAGACCCTTAACTACTGTGAACAAACTAATGGTTACCAGAAAGAAGGTGGGTGGGGGGGGATGGATGAAATAGGTTATTTACACAACATTATATATCAATTATGTCTCAATAAAGCAAAGAAAAAAAACACACGCCAGCCAGATGTCCTATCATGACTTATAAAGGGGCTCAAGTCTTAGGTAATGCAGGAGCAACTTTCCTAAAGCCTATTGACCTACTCAGTTTCCTGAGCTCTGTCTTTAAGCTTTGGCTGCCTGCTTTATCTGACTTTACTTGTCAGATGGGCACCTAATCCTCCCAGTGGTATGATACCCTGTGGTATTGATCTTGGACCTCTAGTTTATATCCCAGATTGCTTTCTACTCTCATTCACTCTTCCATGTTGTTAACTGACTCTGGGTCTCAACTCCACAATAGCTGTTGTGGGTTCCTGGACTGCTAACAGTTTGTCCTGCATACAAGTTCTAGAGATAAACTTTTTCACCAGTGTGGAATAAAAAGAACTATTACCAGAGTGATCTTAAAGTATAGCTCTTATCATATCCTTTTCTTCCTTGGAATGCTCACAAATTCAATTTAAACTTCTCAGTGATTGCACAAAACAGAAACCTATTTGAGGTGGCTTAAGTAAGATGAAGAATTTATGATATGGATACAGGGATATTATGCAGGCCTTAAAAGTAGGGGTGTAGGAACAGATTGAGCCATAAACAAGGATTGGCAAACATTTTTCTGTAAAGGGCCAAATAGTAATTGTATTAGGTTTTGCAGGCCATATGGTTTCTGTCACTCTGCCATACATAGACAATATGAGAAGAAATGTGTTCCAATAAAACTTTATTCATAAAACACACAATTTGCCACACAGGTCATAATTTTAGGATCCCTGGACAAAAATATTATCAGGATTCTCTGAAACTCATCTCCATCACAGCAGACAAAACATGTCTGCTTTGTTGTTCCCTTCCTACTGACTAGCTTCTTCAGCTTCTCTGGTTCTCATGTTGAAACATGGCTTCTGAAAGCTCCCAGCTTCCATGTCATAAGTTAAAGTTTAAGCTCTCTCTTTCTTTCCCAGTGCTAATTCCAAATCCTTAGGGTAGGGATGTTGCCTGGCCAGGCTTGGGTCAGGTGTCCACCCCTAGACGAATTAGCTGTGGCTAACTGAGCTCTGGGTCTTGCTATTTGAACAGGGCTTTGGGGCACCACCCCTACAACCTCTTAGATCAGACCTGAGGAACAGATTTCATAAAAGAGCAAGGAGCTGGGCAGACAACCAGGGGGAGTCTCCTGCTGCATTCATTCAAACCTACATTTTCCACATTGTTCCTAGTAGTCCCCTCATACCCCTTTCTGAAGCACAACCAAGTCCTTGTTGATCTCATAAACTCTGCACATTCTCACCCCGCATTCCCCCTGTCTGCTAGCAGATATTCTACTCATCTTCAAAGTCTCTTCTAAAAAGCCACCCTTTCCTTTATATCCACACAACAACCTATTGGTACAGTGTGTCTTGTTCTGTTGCTATTTCTGTACCTGTCTTTTTGTTTTGCAGACAATAGGTGCTCTGCTGACTGAGGAAATGACTTATTCAACTTTTCATCCACTTTGGTCCCTTTCAGAGAATAGGCTCTGAGTTTCTATTTGTTGAGTTTAACCATATATTCACAGCTGAATAATTCCAAACTGAAGAAAATGTTGACTTTTAACAGTGGCAGTTACATAGGAAACACAGTATCTACTTTTAAGGAATTAATTTTATAAATATTCATTTCCACATGTATGGTAGCCAAATTAAAGTGCATATGTAGAGGGATATTAATTACAGCAAAAGTTATATTTAGTTATTGTTTATAAGAAGAAATAAAGTCCCATTAGGATCGAACCTTCTGTTAATGTACTAAATTAAAAAGGAATACTACAGAAGTGATACAAGATTATTATCTTGGAAAGGTTATAAACTTGAAATATTAAAAATTGCTCTAAAAAGCAAATGCTCCAAAATTATTACTATCATTCTGTGCAAGAAATGTACCAAAGAGCTAGAGATTTCATTATCTAATTTCTTTCTTTCTAGAACTATTAATTAACATTGTTCCCAGAACTCCCCTGCTGAAAGGCAGAAAGTAAATACAGTAACTGCAGAGAAAACTGGTTCATTTCCACCAAACTGTGAGAGGCTTGGGCTTTTGTGAAACAGAAAACACTTGCTAAATAACGATTCCTAAACTATTAGCAACTACATAAAAGCTTTGCATTCAACACCACCCTCCTGGGAAACTGCGCTTGGAAATGTGCATCGGGTCTGAAAAAGGCACAGATTTGGCTCAGTTGTAAATATTAGCTGCACAGAGGCGAAGCCATTGTGTAGCGTAGGGGTGGGGCGGGTGGGGTCCTGATGCCCAATGTTGATAGAAGGATTCTAATTTCGCTTGGAATTTATTTTTTCTACTACAATTACAGTTTTGCTAAGAAAAATAGAATATCGGTTGTGCTCTCAGCTGGCTTCTAATTTTCAGCGTCTACAGATGAAGACGTCTCATTTAACTAAAAGAATCACCTTTCTGCAATCTCCAGAGCCGCTGGGAAAACAGAAGATCGCTCAGCCCCACCGCCCCCAACGCGGCCACCTCTAGAGAGCCGGCCAGCTCCATCCCACCCCGCCCCACCCCACCCGCCGGCCGCAGATTAGGGCTTGCCCCGCGCGCTAGCGGCCTCAAGACCGCAGGTCTCCGGGGCTCGATCCCGTGTGTCGGCGTTTCTGCGTGGGGATGCTCCAAATCAGTAAACCACAACATAGAACCCAAGCCTGGACTCTGAACCAAACCCTCTTGCCTAGTTTTCTTTTTCTCGGTCTCGCAGGGATCCTCGCTACCCCTTGTCACAGCGTCTCCCCAGCCTCTCCCCTCCAACCACCTGCGCGTGTAAGCTATTGTCACGCAGTAAGGAGGGGCTGGAAAGAGCTCAGTCCACTAAGCACTTCATGCAGACAACGAAACTACAATTCCCATCACGCCCCGCAGCCTGTTCCCTCCTCCTCCTCCCCTCCCCCCTCCTCCCTCGGCCAGAGGCCGGGAGGCTCTGGGCTTTTATCTGCGGACGGGCGGGAGGGAGTCAGGTCCCCGCGATCTTCCCCGACCCGTGCGCTCGGCGGCGGCGGCGGCGGCGGCGGCGGCGGCGGCGGCGGCGGCGGCGGCGGCTCTTAGCCGAGTTTTGCCTCCGCGTCCCCGCCAGCCCCGAGCCCGCGGGGGCAGACGGTCCGTCCCGGCGTGCGAGAGGATGGTGATCCGCGTGTTCATCGCCTCCTCCTCGGGTTTCGTGGCGGTGAGTACTGCGGGGACTGGCAGCGGGCCGGGGTCGGGTCTCCGGGGGTCGCGGGCGCCAGGCGCGGGTCCTGTGGGAGGCGCGCCCCGCTCGCCCCTGCGCGTCTCGGTGCGCAGCGCGTCCGGACGCGGGAGCCCGCGCGGGGCAGGTGATCCATCACACTTGCACAACAATGAAAAGGGCGGGGAGCAAAGGTGGGTGGGGGACCCCAGCTCACCCACAGGCCCACTCTGCGCGGTCTGAGAGGGAGACAGCGCTGCGGGAAAATGGAGTCTGCGGGAAGCCCCCAGCTCCAGTAGTGTGGCTCGGGAATTTGGAGAGGGGTAGTCTGAGAGCTTCGGGGGGTCCCGCTTCCCTTGGTGTTAGTTCTTCCCGATTTGGGACATTCAGCTTGCTTATATTTTGTATAACCAGCTTTTATCTAGGCTGCTTAGCTACCTAGCTCCTGAATGAAACAAGTTTAAGTAGTAATTGCTCTCCACCCTCCCTTCCTCGCCACCCAGTACATTTCTTTAGTTTTATACATGCGCAAAGAGAACTGTAAACTAGGTTTGTCCTGTCGTGCCAGGATGTTCTTGTTTGTTTTGTCTTTTTTTTTTTTCCCCTGCCTTGGATGCTATGAACATTTTTACATCTTTATGTAAATGTGTGTGTTTGGTTTCTTTACCCTTGTAGTGCCATGGTCAATTTCATCTTGAGGATGTATAAATTGTGGTCTCTCTAATTATCTTAAGCTGTTTTGTTTGGTCGATATTCTTGATGTTTTTGGGGGGGGAGAAAAATTAAATAGCTAGGTGTCAGACTGTAAGGAAAAATTCAGTAGTATACTTGATAGCCCACTGGGTAAGTCATGTTTTACATGATTATTAAGACTTGGTTTCCTTAGGAAGAAGCTATAGATTTAAGAGGTTCTTTGGTGAGATATATAATCAAATACATCAAAAATGCAGTATGGGTTGCTTAAATTTGATCTGGTCAGTTGCCTGCCCAGCAACAACCAGATTGTCCCAAAATTTGTTTCTGAAGCAGGTGGGGTGGAGGATGGAATAAAATACTGTTTGTAAATCCTTATAAACCATGGAGACTCTTTATTTAAAAAGAAATCAACACTGTAGTACAAAAAAGACCCCTTTTTCATTAGGAACAATAGATGGGAAACTCCACCTTATCTTTATATGCAGGCATGTGGTGGTCCCCATACTCCTGGTAATTTTGGTTATTTCTAGTTATTTGTGGTTGCTTAGTCATACCTGTCTTTTACAAATTTCTCTACTGAACTACAGTGTCAGGAAACTCATTGTTTTGTCGATAGATTTTTTTCAAATGCACACCTTCATAAGAATGCTACAAAGCTTTTCCTTTCACCACAACTTGTATGCTTCAGTAATTGTTACAGTAGCATTTTATTGATTATGGAAGGGCTGATCTGTAGTATTAAGCCTAGGTTATGTTGGAAGAGTCAAAGTCAAATTACTTGGCTTATCCTGTCAGCAGGTTAATATACCAAGATAGTTCTGGAATTGTGTACCTCTATTTCCTCAAGTCCATTAACAAGTAACAAGTATTTCTTGTCTGCGTATGTCCTTTTTTAATTTTTAAATACACTGTTACGCGTTTTGCACATGAAGCTAGACTTAAGAGACCTAAGTTTTAATTCAGGCTCTGGCTAGTAGTGTAAGCTTGGATAAAGGTGCTCCATCTCTGCCTGAGTTTCTCTTCTGTAGGTTGTGATGTATAGGTTGTAGGATGTGTAGGTCCTGAAGGATTGTGATGTATAACTCAGAATTACATTCTAGCTTTAACCTGTTCTGATTTCATCAGTTGGGTGAATGTGGATAAATCCTTGTAACAGCGTTTTTTTACTTTAAATTTATACATATTGGCCTCAAAGAGAGTTTATTCTTGTCCTGTCGTGTTTTACTGTGATGTTTCAGGTTCCCTCACTGCCCTGCTTGGTAATATGTGTTCTGACATGGTTTGATTTGAGCTGGAAGACATAATTTGTTATCACATATGTACAGCCCATAAACAGTAATTGTCTATTTTAATGGACCTAACTTTTTTAGGTCTCAGACAATCCTCAGTAAGTCTAATTATAATATTCTCTCTTAAAACACAGTTTTTCTGTAATAATGTAATGTTGATACTTTTGGTGATGATAAGTATATGCTTATATGCAAGAATAATGATTTCTAAGAGATAATGAAGTTGTTTAGGTTAACTGTTGGCCTGGGGAGTTTAATGGGGCTTATGGCATTAAACTATATTAAGCTTTGATGGCATAGCCATAATGTTTTCCCTCCAGCAGTGTTGTGTTGACCATTGGCACTGTTTTTTTATCTGGTGACCGACTGTGACTAGTAAGTGCATGGGAGAACAAATAATTTGATTTCCAAATCGGTTTGGTTCTAGCTGGATTTTTTTAACCCACAAGGAAGTATGTAACTAGAAATTGACTTTGCTAAGTCAGTCCCCAGTATTTCCAAAAAGGTGTTCTGCCCCAGTCAGCAGTAGATTTAAACAATCTAGAGAAAATCCTCATGTCTTGTCTGACTTCCCTGAATTCTCCAGCTTTAACACATAACAGTGATATTTGGGATAATTAACACCAAGGGATGGATGGTTGCCGTTTTATCCACCCCAGCTCCAGGTAAGATCTGCTTTTACTAGGAAATAAAAGACATGCCACATTATTATGCTATGGATACCTAAAAAGCAGATTTCTTATGCAGCTGATAATGTTGCTCTCATTCATATTGTAGTGAAGGATGTTTATTTCAGTCCTTAGAAAATAGTATATTCCAAAGGTGCCATTTTAAAATTTAATTCATTCTGGTTGTATACCCGGAAGGGGGTGTCCTGGTAACTTTATCCAGGAAGTATATTAATATGACTTTTAAATTTAAAAACATTGAAATCCATCAGTTATTTCATTCACTCATTATTTTATTCATTCAACAAGTATTTTCTAAGGGTCTGCAGCTTGCCCAACTCTGTCCTTGTTCTTGTGGGGAACTGGAGAAGAATAGAGGATGTGGTCTCTGCCCTCAAGAAATTTAGGTAGGGACCCGGTGGGGAGATAAGATAGGAAAGCTAAAACCATCAGTAATAAAGTGCAGGCCAAGGACACTTGCCTCTTTCAGAACACATTATCAGAGATAGAAATAATATAGGGGCAGAGGGATACATTGCAGGATGTCAGATAAGGAGGAAATGTGCCAGAAATCATAAAATATGCATGTGGGAGCCTTAGGCAGATGGCAGGGAGAGGAATTGAGTTAGATTTGGAGCCCGGGAGAGAGTGCAGGGCCCACCTTGTTGAGGCTGGAAAGGGAGGAGTTTTGGGTAGAAGAGGGCAGGCAGCGGATGTCCCTGTGGACCTCATTTGAGGACAGGGTAGACGTTCAGTTCCCGCAAGAAGCCCATGATAACAAGCTCTGTAGTGCTCCGCCTCTCAGAGATGTCTTCAGTATCTACGGCTCGCATGCTGTCTGGAGCCTTTTGTCCCCAGGGAACAAGGGACTCTGTGGCAGGGAGGGACCCCTGGTATGTGATTTTAGAAAGCTCTTTACTCCTGTGCTTGCTTTGACTAAAATGTCTCAAAAAAAGAAATACAATCTTTCACTCTTTGTTAAAGTTTCTGGGCTCAGTTGAGCTGGAGGAAAACCTAAAGCGGTTTTCTTGCAACGTCCAACCACCTAAAAATCACAGAGAAGGAAATTTGGGCACAGAGATTAAGTGGCTTACTCTGAGGTCATTTATGTCAGACACTGCAGAACTAAGGAAGGGTTAAATGGACACCAGGTCTCCTGACTCTTCCTGAAGGTATTCATTCCTGTGTTCATTCAGCAGTGCATTCATTCATGCATTGATTGGCTCTGGCATTCATCAATCATTGAAAACCTACTAAGTACCAGGCTCTCTGTTAGGTGCTTTTAGGTGCTACTAGGTGCTAGGTGTATGTGAGGGCCAGGAGAAAGACTTAAACGCCGGCCTTATGGCACAAATCAGGGCTAACTCTCTGCAGCTCAAAGACTTGGGATACAAACCATTTAAGCAAGGGAGCATGAAGGGCTGATGTGAACTTGGGCAGTGTTAGTGTGAGCATGGTGAAATGGATGGTATGTCCTTGGATATTGGAGAGGGGCCATCACTGGGAGGAAAAGATACAAAGAAACTGGAAGCCAAGTTGATAAACATAGAGCTTTGCCCATGGCCGCTGCTATATTTTCTAGGGGGGATGAGAGTAGCCAGCAGAACTCATAGAGACTATGCTCAGAGTTGTCTGGATCTTTGCAGCTGTAGAAGGCATACCCTACGGGTTTGCATGGCATAACTATTTTAAAACATGTAATAACCAGTGAAGCTGTTGCATCTCCACAGAATGTATTCAGTGAAGCTTCACTGTGTGAGGAGGCCCCAGCAAGGAGTTCCAAGGCAGTTCAAGTCAGGATATGACCATGTAGAACAGATTAAGACTGGGCAGTAATTCCTAAGTGATTCTAATACCAGAAGAAGCTAGTGAGGGTAAGTCTGGGTCATCAGCCTTTCTTTCTTTCTTTCTTTCTTTCTTTCTTTCTTTCTTTCTTTCTTTCTTTCTTTCTTTCTCTTTCTTTCTTTCTTTCTTTCTTTCTTTCTTTCTTTCTTTCTTTCTTTTTCTTTCTTTTTCTTTCTTTCTTTCTTTCTTTCTGATTTTGTTTATTTGAGAGAGAGTGCACAGGCATGTGCAGGAGCCAGCAAGCATGAACAGGGGGAGGGGCAGAGGGAAAGAGAGTGGGACAAGCAGACTTCCTACTGAGCACAGAGCCTGATGTGGGGGCTCCATCCCAGGATGCTGAGATCATGACCTGAGCCAACGCTTAACTGAGCTACTCAGGCATGCCTCATTAGCCTCTTTAACTCATTGGATCTTCAGAGTCACAGGGCAAGGTGGTTATTTAGTCCCATTTTTACAGATGAAGAAGCTGAAGTTAACTGCCCTGATGAGATCAGACATAGTA